AGCTGCTCAAAAGCACTGAATACTGATAGTATTGATTAATGTTAGCTCTGACCAAAATTCTGAAACTAGATCCATTTTAGCTTATATTTCCATTAAAATATAAATCAGATGTAGATCTAAATTACTGCACAAGGACCAGAAGATAAATTGGAACTAATTTCTAAGAACTAACAAGTTTCCTAGCAAGGGTATTTTATTTTACACTAAGTTGAAGCCCAGTCACACTTTTAAACAAATTCAGCTCCAGTTTTAAAACTCCATGCCCAAGTCTATGCAAACAGATGTTAAAATATCCTAGCAGATGTTACAGTACAACTTGACTTGCCTACACTCCAAATTGAAAATACCTTAGTGAAAAAGTTTAACTAAAAAACATTTAAAACCAGCCTCCTCTTCTCTATAGTCTTTTCCTGATGTTTTCTTTTGGTCCCTTTGCAGACACTAATGCATGTGTGTGGTTCGTGTCTTAGCCCACAGGCTACCTTCCTTGCCAACAATGCTTACAGAATTTGGAATAAATCACTGGGGGAAAGATTTTATATATGCTTTCCTTCCCCTGGCAGCACCCCTAAGCACAAGCGCCCACAGTGACACTAGGAACACCAGAAGAGGATGGAGGAAGAGACCAGATCCTCTCCTCCTGGAGCTGAGCCAGCACCAACACATTTGTCTGCAAACCTCTACTCCTGACCTCCCTGTCCTCTCCTCCTGCTCACAACCCCCCTGCCTCACACCTGGGCATAAACCAAGAAAATAGCAAGATCCTTGCCCCTAATATTTTCTAACAAGAAGTTAACGTCATAAGAATGAAAAGAAATGAAATTGGGTCACCCTGTTCCTCACAGTACCACGCAAAACACACTATGAATGAAACAATCACATCTTCACTGAAAGAAACCAGAAAGTCATCTCAGGAGGTTATTTTTCAAACAAGGCGCCAACTCTATCATGCTCTCCTCACTCCCAAATAGACCCATTAGCAAGTATACAGAGTGAGTTTTACTTAGCTTTTCAACATTTTGCTGACAGTATGTGAGTGTTAGTCACATTTTCGAGCCTACACAGTGTGAACAAAATACACATTTAGGCAAATACAAACAATAAGTATGCAAAATGTAAAACCATTAGCACATCTATGTACATAAAAGTACAGAAGCAGCTTTTAGTACCTCTTCACATTGCTCCAATTTCCAACATTATTTCATCTTTCAGTTTCAAAGACTCCATGACAGAATTCTAGAATATCTCTTGTATCTACCATGGGATAAAATACATTTTTTACAAAGTTATCTGGGCACATATCTACTTGTTTTATACAAATTCTTCTTTTTCAGCTTTAAAGAAAATATTTTTTCACAAACTTACTCCAAATACAATTTGCATTCTTCACTGGATGGCAGTAGGCAGAAGTTGTTCTCAGTCTTAAAATGAGGTCTGGATTTCATTTTTAATAGTATGGTTTATGTTATCCTAGTATGTCTTTAAAGCAAGTATGAATGTAATTTATGCTTTCTCTGAGGACTCCTTTTGCCTTGCCAGGACTTCACTGGAAACTCAGTCTACCTATTGTTCAACTATTACAGATTTCAGAATAAGGGGTCCTACAACCTCAATTCAATATGATGACAATGATTATCAGCAATCAGTAGTAGTGTCTTGTAAAGGGTGCAGATTTTTTTTAAAGAAATTTGTTATGTCCTTTTTGGACACTGTTAAACAGTTCTTTCTCTAGATTTACTCCAAAATGGAAACAACTTGACATAAATCTTTGGGTCCCCCACCACAGAAGTAAAATCCTGGTGGGTTGCAAAAGACATTAATTTTTGGAGAGAAAGTATTTTCAAGGGCTTGTGAACTTATTTTTAATAATTTTGAATAAATTAACCATATTAAATGGTTACAGGAAATAGCAGGGAATGTACTAGCTAAAGTAGCTTGCTTTATTTAAGGCTTCTTATGCTCAGAAGACAAGGTAATGCAATACTAAACTGTTTCTAAGAAATGAAAAGGTTTAAAAGTAACATTTGCACAATATTTACTTTGTAAGATATTTTTGGCTATTGATTTTCAATACAATCTTAATTGCTTTATCTATGCCTTATATTTCTATGGGGTATCATTTTCTTTTAAACACCTTTGTAATCTTTCTTTCATAGTAACTGCCATTTTATTTGTTCAAGATAGAACTGAAAATAGTACGTCTTCATTACCTAGTTGCAGATTGCTTTATATTGGCACTCACCAAATGCAAACATTACTTTTAAGATCTTGGGGTTTTTTGATGGGGCCATTCGAAGTTGAAAAAATTTTATTTGCTATAATTCTATCTTTCCAGCTCCATCTGTATTACTTTGGCATCCGGTTTCTGACAGAGTTGATATTTAGATAAGAGAGGATGGACTCCAGGTCCTCCAGTGTTTATAAACTAAAGCATTATAACTGAAGAAATAGTAGGTGAAATTCTGTTTGTAACAATGCTGCTAAATTGCAAAGAATGGTATTATGACTGTGGTTACAATAGGGGCATTTTTTAAATTATTTACAGTTTTTTTTAACTAAATCTTTTTACTGTAGTGTATTTTCTTTTAGAATATTGGAGGATTTCTAAAATATTTTCTCAGGTGATAAAGTCCTTGCCTTTCCATCTATTCTTATGAAATACTGCATATTAATTCAAGTACTGATGAAAATGTAATTGTAAATATAATTGGATACTTTATCATCAAAAATGCTTCTGCTTTCTCATTTGCATTCACATTTCCTAGCTTCTTTTTATGTACTATACCCCCCACAGTTCCAAAGGCTTTTCACTTACAATCCTTGTCATGGGAAAAGTCATACTGAAAATCAGGCAAAAAAATTAACAGCTACATCTCACAGTTACTAAACTAAAAAATATACTTCTGTAATTAATGCATTTAATGCATTGCATACCTCCTCATATATATACATTTATATATATATATATTTATAATCTGATTAATAACACAGTGCTAGCTTCCTGACAATTAGATAAAAGTTCTCAAGGAATGCTCAACAGTGTTAATCAAGTATTGAGTTGGCAGTGGTCAGACAGGTCCCTAACATTCCTATTAATAATTTTTATTCAAATATAGTGAGGTAGCACTCTGATATGACACAAACCAAGGTCTCCACTGTCTAAAGAGGAGCTGAAATATCTGTCTCAGAGGTAATCAAGAACTTGATTCAGTTATTAAAACCTTAAGCCTTTAGCAACATTTGAAATCCTGAAAGCAACTATTGAAAGGTTTAACTTACAAAGGACTGTTATAAAACAAACTATATCAATATATTGATATCAGCAACTTTCATCCTGGACTTGACTTTCACAGCAACGACCTTGCAGTTTAAAATGATAACCTACATTGAATATGGAAAATCCTTTCTACTTCGTAAGCAACCTCAAATTGATAAACATAATGGAAGCAAAAGACAAAGATAGAAAATAAATGCTATATTACACTGTTGCTACCAACCAAGGGAGTCAGAGAAAATTACACAAATCCAAATGTCAGCATAAAATATTGTCACAAAATAAGGAAAAGAGATGTGTTCTCTTAGAAAGAGACTGGAAGGGACCTCTGTAGGTCACTAGTTCAAACCCCCTTCCTCAAAAGTTGTGTCAGCAGAGCAGATTACGCAGGGCCTTCTTCATTTAGGTTTCAAGCATCTCTGTGCAACATCTCTATGTGATACATTCCACTATTTGACAAAACTCACAGTCAAAAAATGGGAGAGTTTTTTTATGTCTTAGTGGAATCTGGAATAAGATTTCAGGGCACAGTCTTCATCCCTCCTTAAAAATGAGCAGAAAAGCAAGCTTCCATATTTTAAATGGAATGCTTAGAAAGTTAAAACAAGCTATTCAGATGGGATAGCAGAGAAATGTCGTCTCTTTTATTTGTATACCTGGAACTTTAGGGAATGCTAGAAGACCACAACATCAGATAAAGACAGACAGACAGGTCAGCATATATGAATTAAAGACATGTCAGGAAAGTGCCAGGAACTAAAAGGCAATGCAGACAAACCTTTGGCATTTTCATTATGAATAGCAACAGAAAACTTTCAACTTACAAACACAGGTAATTAAATTGAGAGCTAAAAGCTACTTCCAAAGACACAAAAAGCTTTCAGCTCACTGTAGTGCCACTTAAAGACAATGTAGGGTTATAAGACAGTTGCTAAGTTCTATCAGTTCTATTACAGTCTTTTCTGACAATGGTTATTTTATCTGTTCGCCCTTCGTGATTTTGATTCCCTTCTTCAGCCAGAAGAAAGGCTTTGTTTAAAAGCACACAGTGTACTACAACTTATTTCTTACTGCTGAGTGTTCCCATCAACAGAGCAAGACAAATTCAAATAACAGATTTCAAACACACTTTTTAGCTCGGAAGAACATTCATCTAGATAACTTTGTTAATTCTCATTTCTTTCCTACATAACAGTCCCATTGCCCCATATCTTGTCCTTATTAACAATGAACTCTGGCAGATTTTTGATATTTTACTGAATGTAGTAAAAATTTGCATTTCTTAAAACTGAGGTGTCAGTAAGATTAGATGCTTTAAAATGGTCTTTCTGATTGTTACAGAACTCACTCTTCATTTCAATTAATCTTATAGAAAACTATTCTACATACAGACAACAGAATGAAGCAATGCCCAAAGAAGTACAGATATCATTGAGAAAGTAAACTGGAACCCTTAAATTCTGTCAGTTCTACGCAAAAGAGGGAAGAGAATGAAGAAGAAACTCATCAACTGATGCTACCTGTAACCACCTCATCTAAGAATGCAGAAGGAAACATCGTAAAGCAAATGTAATCAGGTGTAAGACACTTCTCAGTTGGGAAAAAGAAAGGCAAGGGGAAATAGAAAGGTATATGATTAAAAAAGAAGCAAAAGAGAAAGAAAAATACAGATTTTTTTTTTTTCCCAAACCATGGCCATGTGCATAATATACAGAAAAGTCCTTACCTTTTTCACTGACACTTTCACTTTCTATCTCCACATCTTCACAGCTAGTATATTCTGGTGTTGATGCCCCTTCTTCCTCTGAGCTACTAACTGACATCTGCCTTTTCTTTCCGCCTCTTTTTGCTCTATGAGGCTTTGGAGGGGATGGCCGCACTGATTCCGACTGGTCAGAGCTAAGGGAATCATTCCTTAGCATGGTCTCCATTTTCTCCCGCTTTGCTTTTCGCATGAGAATAGCAGAGCTAGGATCAAGGCGGCTCTGTTTTATAAAGGAATCGTGGTTCTTGTATTCTACGTGTTCTATAGGAACTGGACTATGCCTGGGAGTTGGTGGGCTATGATTAGTTAATTGTTTAGAAACAGAAATTCTTACATCACCTGTTCTGTCTATAGAGTACGACCTCTGAGTTTCCACAAGAGATTTTCTGTCCTGAGTTCCCTGTAATTGTGAGCGTTTTCCTAATTTATTCTCAGGTACCTCCGCTTCCTCCATTTCTGTGTGTGGCAAAGCTACATCACTGTGTCTTCTCTCATGTCGTACTTTAGAAACTTTCGCATGCATGCGCATCTGCTGTTCCTCAGGATGTGGTTTTACAGGATATCTTGCCAGATTGGGGTCACTCCTGTAGCGGGTATGATATTCATCTTCCTTCCTTTGTTTTTCATCATCAGGCACTTTGCCTTCCTCAAGTTTCTCTGGCAAGTCTGGGTAGTCCTGTGACTTGCCTTTCTCCAGCCTTCTGCCTTCATGCCGCTCTTTGCGCTCCTTGTCGTCTGTTGGTCCTTCTTTTTGAAGTGAGGATTTTGGCACACGCTTACGCTCACTCTTTAAACCTTTGCCATTCTGGTCTGAAACCAATATTGCCTTCTTCCTACAATGAAAAGGAGTACAGTAATATGAAGGATTGACTGGAAAAGAGAAATACTTGCATACACAGTTATGGAAAACAGATTATAAATCAAGATAAACGACAGCAAAACAGAAAAGTACTGGATCCATTAGCATGATTTAAACCTATTAATCCTTCCATCTTACTTTTATTCTCTAATAGCAAAAAAACCCATAAATTATGTATTGTCCAATTAATGACTAAAATAAAAAAGAATATTAACATGGACAAATACAAATAAAGAGAATTTACCCTTGTAAGTAGGAATACTCAAAGTTGTCTTTGTAGTAACTGCAGCACTATGACAAAGTACTGGAGTATATTCTCCATTTTTCTGGCAGCAAATATGAGAGTTACAGACTAACTACACAATTTGAGTGCCCTTACAGCACAAATATAAATACCACTAAATGGAGTATCTACCAAATATTACAGAAAGAAGTAATATGGATATAAAAAACAGCAAAAGATAATATATCCAGAAACAGTATTTGACCTAGTTTTCTTTATCTTATTAAAACTCTAAAAAAAGTGCCCATTTTATAAGCATATAAAGAAAAGCAAATTGATTCCTTGAGATAAATTAATGGCATTCCTTTCTCTAATAATAAAAGAGGATGAAAATTTTATTTCTCTATACAGACGAAGTATAAAGAAATGAATAATGAAGCCGCATGAAAATAGTTTTCTCTCCTCTTTCATATTCTGTTTTCCGAAAATAAGCAAGGCAAAGAATCATAAAATCCCCTTATGCTGGATATTTTTATTTCTCTCATCATTTGAGTTGCCCTTTTGTTTACCAGTTCACATACGAATCCACTGATTTTGAAGAAGGATGAACACAGCTATAAAGTATATTTGAGATTAACGCACACCAGGACAAAGTCACTAGGATTTGGTTTCTGGCACTGAATCTTCCCTTCCACAACTAATATGTCTTTGGATTACGTATCAAAGATCGTCACAGAGATCCTCACAGAAGCATCTGACAGAACAGATTTTTCCCATCTCCTGTTCCTCCTGAGTCTTCTGCAATAAATGAGACCTGAGCTTACTATAGATAGGTATTTCATAGGACTTCATTTGGAACACTCAATGACAAGTAGAGAACACTATTTTTTGTATAATTAAAATAACCATCTAACTTTAGGACAGCAAAGCAGAAATAGAAAGCATTTTGCTACCCTAAAAGTGGCAACTGCTCTGGGGGTCTTCCCAGTGTCATGGTGGAAAAAAAGTCAACTGAATTATGGGAGGGTACCATGTGTTTGTTTACATCATACATATACATAATACTAACTTGAATTTTGATACAGTTAAACCCAGACAGATTTCACTCAGAGGCAGATCTCATCTCAACAGTAAGTTATTAGCCACTGCTCATCATCCATTTTCAGCTCCGATAGCTACGAAAAAAAATCATCAACCATTCTGGTCAAGGGAGGATCTTCTATGGCAGACTCATTTTGTTGCCACAACTCAACTGCTCTGCCATCTGCCTGTCAGCAGCCAAAAGAACAACAACTGCTTCATCACATTAGCCTCTCTTGATTTGCTGCTCCTCAACTCATTCATCACAGTGAATTCAGCTCAAGAATTAACTCATTTACTCATTTATAACAGTTTGCTTCTGGTTGGCTTTATTCTTGCATACAACTTGTTCTGAATTCAAGATGGTATTATTGCTGTTCTTTATGAAAGGTAACTTCACAGGTGTAAATGAGCTATTTCAATTGTATTATTTTTAATAGTAAAACTGGAACTATCATTGATAAAAAGATAACACATGAGGATAACTGACAGAACTCCACAGGTTTTGGTTTTTGATTGTCTGGGTGGGGATTTTTCAGGTGAGTGTTGGCCTTAAAAATTCGAGTAAAGTTAAAGGTTTGCTCTTTGTTTAATAACTTTAAAATAAGTGCCAAACTTAAAATTTAGAAGTAACCTACAATTCTATTTTAAAAGTGTACACCCAAATGCATTGAAGTACATGGGAATACCCCTAAAATACTTTTTTCCCATCATTTCTCTTGCACAGACCAAATCAGATAATGTATTTTCTACCAAAAATTTATTTTCCCTGGTCAGTAAATCAATTTACTCTTTGTTTTTGCACAGTTCTAAACATACACAAGGCCCAGCTGAACTAGAATTTATAATTTTGAGGCTCTATCAAGACAGAAAGCATTACCTCTCTTTTGGAGGTTCACTTCTAGATCTTGATGAAGCTTGCTTTTGGTCCAGGCCCATAGCTGGTTGTGATACTTCTGCTCCTTTCCTACGGTCAGAGTGTACACTGGAAGAAGAGATTTCCTGTGATGAGGCAGCTGCTGTACTTAAGGGAGTCTGTGATCTCGATCGCTCTTGAAGTCTTGCTTTCTTTTCTCTCGGTGCATCCGATCTTCCACCAGTTGCTGTATCACTCAGTGTTCCGTCCTGGCTGGGTGAAGGCTGTGGTCCACTTCCAAAAAACCACGCTCCAGATTTCGTTAGGATTTCTTGTTGCTTTCGACATAAATTGCATACCCACATAACCTAGTTGAAGACAACAAGAAGAGTCAGCGCAACTACCTCTCAACCCTGAAATGCATGCTCACTATCACAGAGCAGGTATGATCTCTCACTCTCTGAACTAGTGAGGCTGGTGCTCATGACAGGACCCAGAACATGCTTCTCCAAGCACTGACTGCACTAGCTAGAGCCAAGCATCCTACAGGCACATGCTATGCAAGCTTCTCCAAAATGTGTTGTCAATATACATCAGTCCTACCTGTAACAATGCTCCCTCAGCCCAGCCCTAGCTCTCTTCTAAACAGACACCAACAACATGACCAATGCTTGCTGCTGGTGTTGGTGCAGCTTGGGGGGTGGGTTGGGTTGCCTTCATTGGTGTTAATCGCTGTCGGGACAGACAAGCCCACCAGACTGCAAACAGGACTCAGACCTCAGTTAGTAGAGTCCTGCCCAGCTAACTCAACCTCCGTTGCCACAGAAGACCGACAGAGTATTTCCTTTTAATTAAATTTTCTCACATAACATAACTCAATGTTATCCTGAAAAAAAATTCATGTATTGTGCATAGTTTTAGCTACATCTATAGCAACTACTTACCAGAGGTGTAAAGTAAGACCTAAAGAAATCTACTAACAGCAAACTAAATACACCAAGGAAATGAATACAGAAGTCCCATATTTTGTATTGCTTGCAAATTCTCATTTACCATCTTTTTAAGTTACAGTCGTAAATAACAAATAAACAAACGTGTTCCTGGAAATCACAATTAAGCTGTGTACATAGACAGTTGTGCTTAGGATTTTTTTAAGTTTTTTTTTTTAATTCCTTATACACAGATAAACAGGAGCACATACACGAAAGCAAGACTCTATATTTCAAATCTATATATAGTACAAGACAGTCTAATGTATAGGATCAACTCACCAGAGAAAAATAAAAAGTTAATCAAGACTCTAAAGTGTGTGAAAATTTAAGAAAAAATTGAGACAAAGACAAAAAGAGTTTTGAGGCAGAACAAAAAAGGCAAAATGCATGAAGAATACACAAGAGAGAAATAAAAACAGAGATAAGAGGAAACAAAGCTGATCATTAATAAGGAAAATCATAATGAAAATCTTTTCATTTCATATGGAAAGAAAAAAAGAATGAGTAAAATTGTAATGAAGGTAAGAAAGATAACACAAGTTAGAAGGCAAAATATTCTTAAATTATTTTGTGTAAACACAGGAATGATTCACAAAATTATACAACACCTGAAAATTAAAAAGAAGAGAAAAAAAAAATCACTTCATGGAAGAAATTGCAACAGGACAAACATCTGGTACCAAGTTCTCTTATTCTCTGGCCTGGGGAGGAAGTGCATGGCTTACAAGGCCATAAAAACTTTAGGCATTTTTCATATTTAAAATAATTGAGATTTATTTAAAACACCCCAGCACAGACTATCTGTTTAGATTTAAAAACTACATCAGAACTTCCAAATGCACGTCTGCACTGTTTGACCAAACTGCACAGAAAAGATATCCAATTCTGGATCCAACTCTGGATCCAGATTGTACCTTTATCAAAAGATGACTGTTATATTTCTTCTATTTAAGAAGGATAATAATATATTTAATAATATATTAATTAGAAAAACCCCAACCTTAATCAAAAGCTACATGTGTTATGATAAAAACAGATAGCCCTCAGTAGGATAATAGGAACAGTAATTTTGATAAAAATAAATACTAGTCCTTCAACAAAAAAAAAGATCCTTTGATTCCAAAATATCTAATTTCCTCCATCTAGTACAACTCATGAACCAGAGATTCACTTTATCAGACTATCTGTTCTAAACAGAATAGGCTTTTAGTCTATCTGATTATTTTTACAGGTATTCAAACAAACCACCAAAACTAAAAGGAAAAAAAACCCACATTTTATAATACCTTTATAGAATCTGACACAATTGTTATCTTATTAGACAGCAAGAGAGTGCATGCACACTTATTCATGTATAAAATCTATGTCAGTGCTATAAACCAAGGTCAATAACAAAAAATATCATTACCTGTATTTTATCGGTTTCCAAGAAAAGTTGAAAGTACTATTAATAAAAAAATTAATCAACTAGAGTTTGTTTAAAGGAAGGATAAGGAATACTAAAGTAAAATTTAAATGTTCCAATTAAATTACACATGTGTGTATGTATGCAAGCCCATTTAAATGTGTAAAGATGGTAACATACTTAATTTGTAATTTAATGTATCTATCTGATAACATAAAATATGTATAAAGTATGTAATAAAATTCAATAAATTAATGTTAATTTACATAATCAGCTTTGATACTGTAATTACTTTTATGCAAAACATTACAAGGTGCAAACAAATAGGAATAGCTAATGCACAAATAGACACCAAAAAATACAGAATACTGACAGAAGAAATACTAGACATGTAAATACAAAACCATTTGCTTACAGTGGGCTTTAAACTCTGCAATTTGGACACAATACAAACCAATCACCATAGATTATACATGTAAGAAATCTCCATTATACTCACATAGAAGCTATACTACCATCCCTGCTTAGGAATCTCTTCAGGAATAACAAATGCTACGGTTGCCTTGAGATATATTCGGTCCAAAAGGAAAAAAAACAACTTTTCTTTAAGAGGAAAAAACAATCAAAACTTGAGGTGACAGAAGAGTTTCAGTGATGAAACTGTATATTGAAAAACATTTTTAGAGAAGTATGTGGAGCAAGCAATTTAGCGGCATGCAGGAATTATATCCTGATTGAGTATACTGGGATGTGGTCCAAACTAATCTAAACTAAAGCAGGTCTGTGTAATAACTTATCTTGACAATCCACAGATGTTAGGCAACCAAACAAATGCTCTGATGAAGGATTACAGTTCTCTAATGTGGCTTCTAGACCTCCACGCGATGCATCAGTAAAATGAAGAGCATTAGACAATTTTACTCTGGCCTGTCACTTCAAAAATAGTTTCTGTTTACTCTCCTCTGGACAGTGAGCTCTGATGCAGTACTACAGTAAGTCATTGAAGACACCCAGCATCTGGTTTTTGTTGTTGGGTTTGTTTCTGGTTTATTGCATCCTCGTGTATGTCAATGCAATTCCACACACAAAGCTATTAAAGACAACCAGTAAAGTGTTCTTCATTCAAAGGATTCATATGCATGGCTCTGGAAAAATGTGCATTTTCGTAGCATAGCAAAGGGTTCTGGGCTTTACTGCTATATAAAAAAAAAACAACCAACAAAACAGTGGCACACAGAGGACTCAGCAGAGGTGGGTCAACGGTTCCCACGGAAGATTCACGTGAAAACTTTACAGGCTGTGTGAAAACATGCTAGAAGGATCCCATGCTTGCCTTCATGTGGAATACAGGGTATTTCATTCACAGAAAAAATATTCCTCAAACTTACTCTTACAGGTACTGATGAATGTGATCCACAATGAGGAGGAACAGTATTCCTGTACTAACACAACATGAAATTCCAACTTGAAAGAGCCCATAGTAAATAATATATACAACTATACACACAGAAAAAGAGCATTTTCAGTTACAAAAATAAGAACAATTCTTCATAATTAAATATTTCAAACCTGCACTGTAGAATGAAAAAAAAAAAGGCTTTTTTTTCAAATTTAAATTTGGAAACTTCCAAACATGCACTGGAAGACTAAAGCCACATTGTGGGGAGCACAAAAATTATACCAAATTTGTGTATATATGCCAGGCAAAACATGCCAGCCAAAACTCAAACTGAGGTCAGAGCAAGTTCCCTAAATCCTTCACCCAAGCCCAGATTCTGAGGAGGCTCCCTAAGGAGCACACTCCTTTACACTTCAGAAGTTTAGAAATTGCAAACCCACAGTTAGGCTGACTCCCACATATCCTGCTCCATCTCTGTGTGGTAAATTAGGGAACAAGTGTCTTAATATAAAGGCCACAGGCTACTCTTTACTGAACCTTCTCGCTATCTTAATTATTCTGAAGGGTGTACACACAACATTTTTTCAGGTTCTTGGTTTTGTTAACATTCCTCCTATGCAATTTTAGAAGACACTAGTTATCTCAGACAGATCTAATTAGGTAGACCCTCTTCTCTGCCTGAGGCACCATTAGCTTCGGCAGAGCTCTGCCACCACTCTACAAGTCTTGAAAGTCAGAGGGAAGAAATGTTAACAATTTGCTCTTACAAAACTATTCATTCACAAAATTAAGTTAGATTATGTATCACTTAATGTTTCGGAGACAACACAAAAACATGCAGCAAACCATGAAATTAGTATACAGCATCGCATTTATCTCAATGATTTCTGTAATAAAATTCTAGGTAAAGTGCCACGACTGCTTCACTCTGTTAAAATATAAATAATTGAAGCTGGAATTCTACTTGAATACCTAATAAGTAAAAAACTCTGCCTTTCTAGTGAAAGTGTGCTTGTGAATCCAAGCTTTTATTAAATATATTTTTCAAACTAGTACAGACAGCTGAGTTCATCCAACAGCTCCTGCTCAGCAAAAGGGAAGGTCTTCTCTGCTCCTCTTTTGCTCTTCTTTCTTCCTATCAGGGTTTGGCCTTCCTCTTTCTTGCTCCCAGGTTCCCTGTGCCACACACTTGCTTGTATCCTATTCCTTGACTGTCACGTTCTCCCAGGAGCCACTTGTATTTAAAAACACTATAGAAATTAATCTGTATTTTTTAAACTGCTTTCATTTTTTGTCACATCTATTTTTCTTATGGAGGGTATGACAAGTAGTGAAATCATGCAGCGAGAAACAGAGGCAAAGGGGGATAAGGGGATGTTTTGCCTACAGCATTGTCTCACTGTCTCCTGCTAAATTACATCTTGTAATAACACCAATACTAGCACACTAGACTTTAACAGAAACACTTTTGAGCACTGAAGCCAAATGACACAAAATAAACTGCATCTATGCTAGGAACTCTGCTCTACTTCAAAGCAAGGTGGTTGCATGCAAATTGCTTCCTGCAGGTGC